GAACAGTAAGGGAACGAGGTCTCACTCAATGTGACAATAAATATGAGAATACATAAACTAGACAACAAATTAAGGACGATTGGGCTTCTAGTGAGATTGGTTTTGGTCCTTCTATTTGTATAAGTAGTACAATTTCTTCCACTAAGTGTAAATGGAGGCAAGTAAGCTATCATCATTTAATTATTTATTTTATGTATACATATGTAATGCAATCTTCTACAATTATTATTATTATTTTTTTTTATAGATAGTAGTCTACAATAGTAAAATTTCATATAGTAACTTGATAAGAAATCTTATATTATTTAAGATATATGAATATCTTCATGTGTATCTAAATTTCTTCTGGGAGAGCTATAATGGTGGTGCTGCAGCTTTTCCCTATTTGTTAGATATGTGCTTGGAGGCTGATAATGTAACATTAAATATGAGAATACCGAAACTAAACAAAAAATTAAGGAGAGGATTGGGCTTCTAATGAGGGTGTTTTGGGTGTTTCTATTTGTACAAGTAGTACTATTTCATTCACTAAGCGTAAATGGAGGCAAGTAGTTTATCATCATTTAATTATTTATTTTATGCATGCATATGTAATGACATTTTCTACAATTGTTTTTTTTTTTAAGATAGTAGTCGGGTGACTATGATAAAAAATTCTACAATAGTTAATTTGCATATAATAACTTCATAAGTAATCCTATATTTTTTAAGATTTATGAAAATTGTCCTGCACATCTAAAAATTTCTTGATGGGAGTGCTATATTGGTGGCGCTGCAGTACAACCCTCTTTGTCAGATATGTGCCTGGAGGCTGGCAATGTGACATTAAATATGTGGCACAACAGTGTTGAGGTCTCTATTTTGAATGTCTGAAATCTTCCCTTGGGAGCACTATGACATTAAAAAATTGTGGCGCTGTAGCACTAGATTAAAATTTTGAAAAATTTCAACCTTGATTAGAGCAGAGAGGGCTTGGTTATTATAGTGGATTTTATTGAGTATACCTAAATTAGACAACAAATTTGGGAAGCTTAGGCTTCTAGTGAGGGTGGTTTGGGTGCGTCACATTGTTCTAGCAGTGTTATTTCTTTCACTGAGCATGAATGGAGGCAAGTTGGTTATCATCATTTAATTATTCAATTTATGCATGCATATGTAATGATATCTTCTAAAATAGTTTATTTTTTAAGATAGTAGTCGTGTGACTATGATAACCACACAACAAATTAAGGAGGATTGGGCTTCTAGCGAGGGTGATTTGGGTCCTTATATTCGTACTATTTCTTCTACTGAGCATAAATGGAGGCAAGTAAGCTGTCATCTTTTAATTATTTAATTTATGCATGAATATGTAATGACATCTTCAACAATAGTTTTTTTTTTAGATAGTAGTCGGGTGACTATGATAAAATCTTATACAACTGTTAAATTGCATATAGTAACTTGATAAGAAATCTTATATTATTTAAGATTTATGAAAATTATCATGCGCATCTAAAAATTTCAAAATGGGAGCACTATAATGGTGATATTGTTGACCTTGATTTTGTCAAACCCTGGGTCTCATGGGTCAGACCAAGCCTCTTGAGCTCAGACCCATGTCCTGGGTCAACCTGGTTGACCAGGTCAACCAAGGTTGACCCGGTCAACCAAGGTTGACCCATTAGACCCATTTTGAGCCTAAATCAATTCCAAACCCATTTCAAATTCTCTTAGGCTCAAGCTTCCATATCTTGGACCTATTTGACTAGGTTGACCAACTCAATCATTTACTTGGTCAACCCAAGTCTTAAATAGGTCAAAATGACCTATTTGGGTCATTTAAAACCTATTAATTACATTTAACTGCTCCTTAATGATTCCAAATTCAAAACCATGGCTAATTTGAGTTTATTTCCCTCCCAAACATGCATTGATTCAATCCTAGCCGTTGGTATTAGTCTAGGGCTTTAAATATATGTTTTAGGTTTCTTTGGAGGGATCTTTTTTCTCTTGCTCGCAGCCCAAGCCTTGAGAACTCTTGAAACTTTGTGAGAGAGCTCCCACGATCTTCCCTCACCTTCCCCAAGTCAAACCCGACAGTGAAACCTTGCCGGCGGCGAGATTTTCGGTAAATCGAAGCATAAAATTTTTCAAGGAAGATTCTCGTCAATCTAGAGATTTTCAGAACGCAATTTCTTTTACAAATAGTAGCGTGGACAATCTACAAGTGCAATAAACCTAAGAATGCAAAAATCCAACGGTTAGATCTCTCAAAAACCTTATAATAGGTCACTACACATAGGGTAAAATAGCTTTCTGAAAAACTGCTTTTAAGCCAAACAAACATCACCCCATGATTTCTATTCATGTGTAGAGCTTATGTTTAAAATTTCATGAAAATATCATAATTGGATTGATATGCAATATATTAGATCCTAGCAAAAGAGGTTTAACAAATGAATTTTCATATGGAGCATTGTAGGTTTCGCATGCTAATCACAAATTATTCTTGACACTATAGGGAAAACCCACATAAGTAGTGGCCCAGGTCCGCTAGAAAATGAGTAATTTCGCCAAAAAATGTGAATTTCTGATGAATTTTTGGAGCAAATTTATTCGACAGTAAAATGAGTATTGAAAACTTTGTTCTGGCAAAATTTTTCAGTCGGAGATATTTCCAGCGGATTTATCGACGGAATTTCGGTGGTTTGTCCGCAAAAAATTCCAGTGGAAACATATCACCAGAAATACTGGAAGACACACCACCAGACTTTTTCCATCAGAAAAATGATACAATTTCATCGTGTCTCCGTTTCTGGCAGATATTTCATCAGAAACCTGTACAAAAGAAAAGCACACCCTCACATATTTATTTTATAACACAATAAATCTGCATAAATAATATACTCATATCATATTCAAATTCAAACATTGAACTTAAAAACATGCTACATGCATGTAATAACAGATTTGATCACAATATTTTACTAAGCATTCACCAAACATTTTAAAATAAACATAAAATTCATTCGTTGCACCAAAAAAAAAAGGACAATAAAATATACAAACATAGAAATGAAACATCGAACATAGAAATGAAATGTTGAGTAATAACAAATAAAAACTAATCAGAATTGTCTCCTCCTACGTTAATGCTGCTTGAGACGGTACAAAACTCTGAAACTTCAAATGGTGTTTTTGAAAACAATTAAAAAACCATCCCAAACAAAACCTTAGTCTCATATCACTTGTAAAGTTTAACTTCATGTTGTTTAGTTTTTTGCTTTTGCATATAATAGGAACTCACATAAACTGTTGGGGCAATGTGAGAATGTTTGCATGGTGTTTTATGATAAATAATAATTATATGTATTTAATACTCATCTAAAAGTTATTATATATTATATTTAATATTTATTTTTTCAAATTAATTTATTTAAATGTTTAAATAAAAAAACACTTGAACTACAACTTTTTAAAAAATCAGGATGATGGTACATTGGTTGAACAACTGATCCTTCTTTGTTCAATCCGATTTGATACAAAACAACTTTTTAGAATGGATCTGATAGACTATCTGGTCAGTTTCATAGTCGAACTATAGCTAGTACAAATTTTAAAACTATGGTAGGGACCATAGCCTGGCGATAATGGTAGGTGGTGTGGCAACAACAGCAAGGCAGAGATTTGATGACGATCGACAGTCAAGTTAGCCTAAAATTAATATTTCAATTATACCCTAAAAATTTGCCTTAAATTGAATGGGATGGCTACATTATTTTATAAACGTAGCTATATCGATTGCAAAAAGGAGTTTTCTATCATAGAAATTTTTTAGAGCCAATGAGAAAGTAATAGTCAAAGAAAATTATGATTAATATTTGAAAAAGCAAAATATTGAAAAAACTATCCCAAACAAACCCTAAGATTTGTTATTCCTCTCAACTAATGATTTTTTCGACCGCCAAATTTAAAATGTCATCACCAAATTCGACATATTAAATCATAAGACACTGATCATTTGAAATCATTCACTTTTTTAGTACTATACAATGAAAAATTTTCATGATTCCCAAAGAAAAACTAATATACATCTCCAAAAACATTTTTTCCTTGTGTTTTCCAATAGGCACATACCTACCAGAATTGTTCTTGAATAAGCACTACATGGTGGCTGAACATTAGGCTTCTGTTAAATCTCAACATTCAATTTATACAAATCCCTTGGAGTGCTAATCTCTTGTAAAATTTCTTTCTCACTCGAAAATTATTGGATACTAATAATAACATGACAAAAATATTTATAAAAATCATTTCAAAATGTTTTTAAATAAATAAGAAATCTTGTGGGTTTGATATGTTGGCAAAGAAAGAGAGAGATTAGTGGGTGAAAACTAGAAGAAGATGATAGAATTAATGAAGGTCATGAAGAGGATTAAATGTGTATGAGATCATAGAGGGGCATTTGATCAAGGTGCTTATCCTATGATATTCATAATAATAACTATATCTTTAATTAATTGAACATGCTAATATAAACATTTCTATATATGCAATAGGAAATTGATAAAAAAAGAAACAGAATAAAAGAGCATGTCCTCTATAATGAAGATATATATAATGGTAATTATTGAAGACTCTTAGTACATTTAATATTATATACTTGATGGTTATGCTTATTATCGTCTGCTTTGTAAGTTGGGCATTCTTGACATTTCAATTACAACTCCAACTTTAGGGATAGTAATGGACCAAAATGGAGGAGGATTTTAAATGTCCATATAAGTCAAATATTTTAGGCTTAATCATAGGAAACTATTAAAAGTATTCTATATTTTCTTGCATGTGCTTTATTACTATAACATGTTATCAATTCTCTATATTTTCTTAGATTTGAATTTTAAGAATTCTATATATATATTCAGTAGTTGAATGAAATAGAGTAAGATTTATAATCTTATTTATACTCTTCTTTGTGTTTATCATTTTAACATCAAAAATAACTTTCCAAGTCTTAAATGGCCGACTCCACTCCCTCTTCCCAAGTACAAATTCCTGCCTCCAACGCCCAAACCAGCATTCCGCCATCTCATTATCGCGGCGTCGTCTTACGAGGAGGCAAATGGGCATCAAGAGACTACAGATTTCATGACTCTAAAAGCATATGGCTTGGTACATATTCCACACCAGAAATGGCTTCCATTGCTCATGATGTGGCTGAGCTAGCGATCAACGGTGACAGGGCATGGCTTAATTTTCTTGATGTAATACAATCCCTTCCTGTGCCAAAATCAACTTCAATTGTTGATATTCGAGCAGCAGCAACAGCAGCAGCGGCATCAGCAGAACAATTCATTGTGAAGCATGAGGTCGTGGATGTATATGAGGTGCCATCGCAGGAGATAACTGAGTATGTGGATGAGGATGAACTATTCAATATGCCACAATTGTTGATTGAGATGGCAGAAGGGTTGATGGTGAGTCCACCAAGATTTGGCCCTCCATATGATTAGACGTTAGAAGTCTTGGAATATAATAATTTATGGAATTTTGATGAGTAAAAATGATAGTGGCATTTGGGGCTAGCCTTTAGGAAATTACCTTAGGATACTCTCATCAAATATTTTATTAGATTAAATTTAAAATTGTTGGATTTATTTTGAGATAAGTATGAACAAGATTTTCATTTATTTGTATTTAATATTCTATCATAAAACCAATTCTTATTTATTAATCCTCTTTCATTTTGCAATTTCCTTATGCAATTTCCCTTTTGAATTAATTTTAATGAACTAGAAAAAATGTGTTTCTATGAATAGTGCGGTGCAGCATCGAATTGTTCACAATAATAAAAAACACAAAAATATATTTTCATTTTTTGTTTGGGTGGAAGCTTGCGGGAGCTGCAAACTGGTAAATGTCATTTGGTTGGAGATGCCTTAATGATGTCGGAATTAGACCTTCTTAAGCATTTTTAGATTCATCTTGTCAAACCGCTCGATTCGACAATGAACAAGTTAAATTTGGAGATTTGCTCATCCAATTAAAATTTTAAAGCTTTTAAATACACTTTAGACCATGGGTTTAGGATTATTTGTGTTAAGATCTCGTCAAGACGCTTTGTTTGACTATAAGTTTGCAAAAACTAGAGTTTGGATGGCCAAGAATTTAATTTTGAATGTATTCAAACCAAATGTGAGATTCGTGCCCGATCAAGGCTCAGTTTTGGTGATGTATCAATCAAGATTAGGACTGTAAACGAGTCAAGTATACCTTAAATCATGCCTAAATTTTGCTTGACTCATCAGCCAGATTGTGAGATCGAACTCGAGTCGAGCTCAGGACATAAGCTTGAGCTTGGCTCTTGATAGTAACAACAAGCTCGCAAGTTGACTTGCGAGTTTGTTTAAAAAAAAGGTAAAACAGGTGGCAAGAGGAAGAAGAAGAAGGGTCGCGGAAGAAAAAAACTTGTGTTGTAGAAGAAGAAGATATGGTTGTACGCTTTAATGCCTTACAGTGTTTTATTAATATGTTTTAAAAAACCATACAGTTCCTGTAGGAAGCTCATAGGTCGTGGAAAAATTATTATGTGCGGACGTCGAACGCCATTCAGAGACCAACCAGAATGCACCATGTCACCCTTTTACTGTTTTGCGGCTCGGTACTACTCGATACTACTTAATACCGCTGATGTGGCTGCACCTGATTCACCTCCGGACATAGAGCTGCGTTCTGCGTCCGCACATAATAATATATCGTTGAACCAAAATATCTTTACGGCTTTTTATTAACTTTTTTTTAAAACGTGCAGTTTTTTCAAATAAAAACTGTAATGTTGCAGCGTTGGAAACATCAAACTAATATGAAAGACTTCCACTCCCCAAAGACAAGGGGGAGGGAAAGAACTAGAAAAACAACCCAAAACAAGCCGCAAACGAAAACAAAAAGAAAAAGAAAAAAACCTCAAGTGAGGACCCCTTCATTGGTTTGTATTACGCAACAAAACCCAATACAAACCAACGAAAAAAGGTCAATCATTAAGCACTTGAGGGGACCAAGTCTCCGCCTATAAAATATGTAGAAATCTTCTTCCTCCTCATCAAGGACGTGGGTAAAGCACTTAAAGGCCCAAGTCGGATAAGCTCTCTGTCCAAACGAGATTTGGAGCCTTTTGGTTGTTGCTTGCGAAAGTTCATAATCTTATTAGAAGTTTCTTCCATTTGCTGTATCTTCTCGGCCGAGAATTGGATCGGAGGTTCGGTTAGTGGACAAGAGCCTAGTTCTTCAGAAGCCCTTGGTTTTCCTTTCCCTCTCTGGGTGACATGGTTCCAAGATCCAAGGGAGGAGTCATCCTTGTCCTCACTTAGAAAGGACTCTCCAACAACTTTATTCTTCGTCTCATGAGGAGGGATGGGTATGTGGTGGACCTTCTCGGATGCGGCTTGCACCTTGGTTGGAGGCGACGACTGCAATGGGCAATATTGAGAGCCACAAGTTGAAACCTTAGATGGACAAGCTCCTTTGGCATAACCAATGAAACCACAATCAAAGCAAAAATTTGAAAGCCCTTCATACTCAACTCATTAAAAAAACCGTCCTTGAAGCCCATTGATCCATACCCCCCGCTTAAAGCTTTTGAGAAAGATCAATCCTAACATAAATTCTTGCATAAGATGATCTTACCCAAGTACTCGTGTATGAGTCCATCCACAAGGGTTACCCAAGCATATTGGCAAGCCGAGTAATGTTGTTCGAATCCCAATACATGAGAGGAAGCTGTGGCAAACGAATCCAAATGGGTGAATGAAGACCTTCAAGGGAATTAAGAGAAATGTTGGGAGTCTATCTATCCATTCCAATGATGTTGCCGGCAATTATCCAAGGCCTACTCATTAAAATCACATTCCTAGCATCAACACTAGGGAAAATGCAAATAAAAGAATTTGGCGAGGTGGTGATAATTTGAAAGTCTCCAAAGTGGTACCACCAACGTTTGAGTTCACTTAATAGATAAGGGAAGGCAATTCATTTGCCAAGAAGCTTAGCCACAAGCGCTCGATCAAGCATGTCCAAGTTAGCTTCCACAACATTTTGCTCCAGTTCCATGGAAACACCATCCGAGGCAATAAAAGTCTCTCTACTCATCTTGTCTAAAGGAACTAATTGAAGTTTATTCCAAGCAAAAGGACCATTAAAAAAGCCCCCAGTAGTCGAGGTAGAGGCCTGTGCAGGCTGCTTTAACGTATAATGCAATCCCTGGGCTGCTGGGGCATTTCCACAGACAGCATGTGTGTGCGAACCTGTAGCACAGGTTTGAGAAGTTGATGTTTGAAGAGGAATTTCACACCTAGAGCTAGGAGAAACCATCTCCAACACGGCTGCATTCGAGCCACAAATCAAACCAACAGATTCCATAGCATTTGGAATAGAATCCCCACACGAAATAGAAGGATTCAGAGTATGCACCTGAGAGACATCTACTTGTATGCGACTTGACTGTGCAGGCTGCACGGACAAGATCCCCATCACAGGGTCCAGATTCTGGGCGGAAACAGGAGTTTCCTCTAAAGGTAAGTCATCCTCCATGTTGGTATGAGAATCGGAGTGACCTTCCGACTCTTCCATCTCATTCTCTAAACCCTTATCACAGTTTGACTCATTATCTGATCCGCATTCACTGGAGTAAGCATCGGGTTTGGTGGTTCCGCCAATCTGCTCAGGGTAAGCTTGAAAAATCGAGGGAGGTACAGATTTTTCTTTTGGAGAAGAGGCCTCACCAGTTCCCACATACAAAGCCAGACCTTGCAAGCACGGTTGCTGCAACGGTTGACTGCACTCCTCCTTGCCACGCCAGATGTTGGCCTTAGATCTCGCTACAGCCTCAGTCCTAGAAACTCTAGTAATTGTGCCTTGCATCTTAAGTGAAGGAAGGAAGCAACTCTCTGACTGAACCACCGGAGTATGCTTAGTAACCGACTCCTCCACCCTATCGTCAGGGGCGATCAAGTGCCAATAGTTACAAAGTTGTCTGTTTCATTGCCTACCGCCTCCCCTATCACCATTAGGAGGAGGTGACCTAATGCCACCTCCTCCTGCCATCCTAGAGCTAGCCTCTCTCTCTATGAACACTGCAAGAATATTTTTTATTCTTGCAGCTAATTACTTTAAAGCAAAAGCAATATATTTAAAACCTTAATACTTCGATGTGATAGCTTCTTTATCTACGAATCTGCCATTCAATCTCCTATTTTTTAAGTATAATTTATATGAATGAATTGTTCTTTTTTCTCTCAATTACAATATTTCTCTTCATCGTTTATTGTTTTTAAATCAACGTGATGATTCTGCTTTTTAATAGTTATATATAATTCTCTTAAAATATTTATCGATGCTGATTTAAAAAAAACATTTCTTAAATCTTTTGTTGATATGACATTCTTAATTATTGTTAGGGGTTAGAATATTTTATAAAGGACATATCTTAAATTTTTAAATATTTTTCATGTGCATTTAAATCGCGCGTAATTATAATAGTATACATGAAATAATTATATCATTTATGTATAAAAATGGCTAAAAGTATTTGTGATATGTATTAAGTAGCAATTTAGTCTATTTTTTATTAAGAAAATATTATTGAGGCCTTTAATCAGAAAAATAATGTTAAATTTTCTTCAAAAAAATGATTATAATATAAAAAGTGTTGTCAACTGTGAAAATTTTATATATAATTATTTTAGGAGTAGCTGTAATTTAATATATAAATGATCGATATAAAATCACAAAAACTTAAATTTTATTTGCATATAAAAATGTTATTTACATACATTTATATCAATATATTTTAACATTTTCAGAATATCATATATCAAAATGGTAGTATACATCAATCATATTGGTTCTATATCGATTGTAAAATAGTTATTTTAGTTTAATATTTGCAATCGTACAAATTTTTTCCAACCCAAAAAAATATTGGATGGCAATAATAACATGACAATGATATTTATACAAATCATTTCAAATTTTTGTTCTTTAAGGTAAAGGGAAATGCTTAGACTATATAGCCACAAGATATGGTGTCCGTTGGAGCAAATGAGTGTTTTGGTTGAGCTAGCCTTAGCTCATGATAAGATTGATGTTGGTCGCGATAGTTAGCTTCGATCTCATAGTCAAATGAATGATTTGAGCCGGCTATGTCTCAATGAGTTGATCGCGATATTTCTTAAGAAATTTGTGATCCTTAGAGGCAGCGGTGGGGTGTGTCGGTTGAATATGATGATCCGATCAAACTATTTGTTCTAGTTTAAGTCAAGTTGTGGAATATTGAACTGAGATTTATATTTTTCTTAAGGATTCATATCAATTCAAAGTATTAAATCACCTTTGTCACGTGGATAATTTAAGAAGAGTTGAAAACAAGGTGTTAAAAATATTGATAATGTTAAAAAGAAATTTAAATTATAAATCTTAAAAGGTTATATCCTTTTTTAAATTGAATTTGGTAACACAATATTTTATATATAGATAAAAGAAAATATAATGATAAGAAGAAATACAATCATCAATACAGCAAATATGTTATTAAACTATTTGGTGATCAATGTTAAAATGCTTGTTTATCTTCAATATCTGAATGAATATGATATATGTATATTTTTATACAGATTTGTTGTGTTGTAAAAAACATAAATATAAGAGGGATTGCTTCTTCTTTTTTCTATAGGTTTAATGACGAAAAATGTATCGAATTTCCGAAAGAAATAATCCGCCGTAAGTTCTAACGGGTTACCCACCGGAACTTCAATCGGATAAACCGCCGGTAAGAGTGCTTCGTAAACAACGAATATTGACCGCACAATTTTTTCTATATATAGTTAGTTGTTGAATGATAGAATAAGATTTATTATAATATTTTTATCCTTCTTTGTGTTTATCATTTTAACATCTAAAAAAACCTTCCACTCCTAAATGGCCAACTCAAATCCCCTTTCCAAAGTAGAAATCCCCGCCTCCAATACCCCACCTATCATTCCACCCTCTTATTATCTTGGCATCAGCTCACGAAGAGGTAAATGGACATCAAAAATCTACAGTTGGCGTGAATCTAAAACCATATGGCTCGGTACCTATTCCACGCCAGAAATGGCCGCCATTGCTTATGATGTGGCAGCGCTCGCGTTCAACGAGGGCAATGCGGTGTTCAATTTTCCCTATGCGATACGATCCCATCCCATGCCAAAATCGACTTCAATTGCTGATATTCAAGCAGCGGCAGCGGCGGCGGCAGAACAATTTGGTGCGAGGTTTGATGATGTGGATGCATCTGAGGTGCCATTAAAGGAGATATGTGAGTATGTGGATGAGGAGGAACTATTCAATATGCCACAAGTGTTGATCGAGATGGCTGAGGGGTTGATGGTGAGTCCGCCAAGATTGGGCCTGCTGGAGTCTGATGAGCCGCTAGAAATCTTGAAAGATGATAATTTATGGAATTTTGATGAGTAAATAGGCTAGTGGCATATGGGGCTATCATTAAGAAAATTAGCTTAGGATATCCTCATCAAATATTTTGTTATATAAAATTTAAAATTGCTGGAATTATTTTAAAATAAGTCTGATCAAAATTTTTATTTAGTCGTACTTTATGTTCTATCTTAAAACCAATTCTTATTTCTTAATCCACTTTTACTTTACAATTTCCTTACTGAATTAATTTTTATCAAGTTCAAGTCTTCTTCCTCAAGGTTGTGTTGAATAGGAAAATATTTTTATTCAGGCAAATTAATTGTTCTTACTCTCCATCTTGAATGTGTAAATCTCAAAAACAAAGAGGTTGAATTCTTCTTTCCTCAGATCTTTTTGGCATATTTACTTGAAACATTTGACCCTTTCATGCCATAATGTAGCTATGTGGATGGACAAAATCACATAGAGAGTTAACTCTTTAAGGAAACTCTTATAAATTATTTTTTAATTAGAATAACTCAATTTTCTATTCAGAAAAACAAATTATAATCTATGAGCTTTAGCTTCTTTGTAAGACTTCAAAGCATCTATTTTCATGTATTCACATATAAGATATGAATTGCATGCAAGAAAATATATAAATTACATTGGATACAATCACATTAATTATAAAATTTTAAATGTGATGAGATGAAAAAATTGCATACATAAGGTCACAATTTTTTGGGCATGAGAAAGTAATGTTTAATTATTAGTCGTATATTTTTATAAACTATGAATTTATGTACAATTTGGGTATAGTTCTTTTGAGAGCCTCTTTCGCGCTCAAAGTAACCTAACTCCTAAGCACACCAACGTTCAACCCTTGAAACTAGCTCTGCTCTCGCTGTTGTTGTTGGCTTTATGCTCTTGACTTTTTCAGCCTCCTACACTATCGAAGTCCTACTCACAGTCTCTTGTCGATGGCACTATTTCCAATTCATGTTTTTGTGGCTTCCTATAGGTTGATAATTTTGTTTTGATTTGTTCCATCTAGGGGTGTCAATTTCGGGTCACGGGTCGGGTTCGGGTCGAACCCGGAACTGACCCGGGTTCAAACGGGTCGACCCCCGCCGGGTCAACCCGACCCGTTTTTTAAACGGGTCGATTTCTGGAACCCGAACCCGATCCGTTTTTAAATCGGGTCGGGTTCAACCTGGATTTTTCGGGTCGGGTTTTCGTGTCGTGTCAAATATTGACACCCCTAGTTCCATCCTCACTAAAGAGGCCTTACTTTCCTCCTCATAAATGAATTTTTATATGGAGTTCAATTATTTATAGGTTTCACATTTCAATAACAAATTATTCTATGAATTTATATAAAAGAAGGTTTTTAATGAATTATTTATATTGGACAACTCACGACGAATATGACCACGAGAGATATAGAAATACACTATACACGGAGAAAACAATTGGTTCCATTAACATACATAATGAGCAATGAAATAAAATTAAAGGCATGGTTTATGATGCTTGTGCTATGTAAATTATTAAAAAATATAGGTTTATCTTATATTAAAGATCTGTTTAATGTTTATATTAAGGAGGAACTAAATAGTTGAGCTAAAAAAATGATGATCTATTAACTGATGCACAATAATCTTTCTAGGCTGGTTATAATAATCATTCAGAGGTATCTATAGCTATCAGAATAATTAGCATTACCGCCAAGTATAACATGTCTTAAGCAATTTTAACTAATTTGAGCTACTAAAGAAGGCTACATCATCTAATAATTTGGTACGAATAGTTACTATACATAAAATAAAATAGTCTTAAAATTGAGTTTAAACACAACAAAATTTAATTTTTTTTTGTGAATTGGTGCATGATTTTACAAAATAAAGATATTGAATTACAAAATTCTAAATATTGTAACCAAAATCAATATAAATCACATACTAAAAAAATATCAAAGATGTTCCTAAAAAAAGAATGCACTACTTGCCTTTAATACCATAACTAAAATGGTTAAATGTTCTACCTAGTTTAAGTGAACACATGATACGATATAAATGCTGTTAAAATGCAATAGATGTGACATATCATTGCTTTTTAATGGTGAAGCATAGAAGAATTTTAATAAAATATTTATAGATTTTATAATTGATAAACAAAATGTTAGATCATGTCTTTGTATGTATGGTTTAAGATCATATAGTCAAGCAGCTAGCTCGTATTCATATAAGCAAATTATTATTGCTCCCTATAAATTACCATCAGAGTTATGCCTCATAACTCCTTATATGTTTCTTAAAGAACGGAAACTATAAGACTAGGTATATGTTAAACACTGCATAACATTCAAAAGAGGGGATCAATTAGATTGGGGAGAAAATTTGGCGGGTAGGGGGGAGGGGATCTTGGTTATTATGTTGGATTTTAATGAGAATACCAAAACTATACAGCAAATTAAGGAGGATTGGGCTTGTAGTGAAGGTGGTTTGGGTGCTTATATTTGTACAAGCAGTACTATTTCTTCCACTAAGCGTGAATGGTGGCAAGTTATCATCATTTAATAATTTATTTCAAGCATGCATATGTAATGGCATCTTCTACAATAGTTTTTTTTTAGATAGTAGTCTATAGTAGTAAAATTGCATATAGTAAATTTATAAGAAATCTTATATTATTTAAGATTTATGAAAATATTCATGTGTATCTAAAAATTTCTTCTCGGAACGCTATAATTGTGGTGCTGCAACACTACCCTTTTTGTTAGATATGTGCCTAGAGGCTGTCAATGTGACATTAAATATGAGAATACTGAAACTAGACAACAAATTAAGAAGGATTGGGCTTCTAGTGAGGGTGGTTTTGGTGATTCTATTTGTATAAGCAATACTATTTCTTCCACTAAGCGTAAATGGAGGCAAGTAAGTTATTATCATTTAATTATTTATTTTATGTATGCATATGTAATGAAATCTTCTACAATAGTTTTTTTTTTTAGATAGTAGTCTACAATGGTAAAATTGCATATAGTAACTTGATAAGAAATCTTATATTATTTAAGATTTATGAATATTGTCATGCATATCTAAAAATTTCTTATGGGAGCACTATAATGGTGGTGCTACAGCTTTTCCCTCTTTGTTAGATATGTGCTTGGAGGCTGGCAATGTGACATTAAATATGAGAATATCAAAACTAGACAACAAATTAAGGAGGATTGGGCTTCTTGTGAGGGTGGTTTGAATACTTCTATTTGTATAAGCAGTACTATTTCATCCACTAAGCGTAAATGGAGGCAAGTAGGTTATCATCATTTAATTATTTATTTAATGCATGCATATGTAATGACATCTTCTACATTAGCTTTTTTTTTTTTAAAGATAATAGTCGGGTGACTATGATAAAATCTTCTACAATAGTTAAATTGCATATAATAACTTCATAAGAAATCTTATATTATTTAAGATTTATGAAAATTGTCATGCGCATCTAAAAATTTCTTTATGGGAGTGTTGTATTGGTGGCACTGCAGCACAACCCTCTTTGTCAGATATGTGCCTGGAGGATGGCAATGTGACATTAATTATGTTGCACAACAGTGTTGAGGTCTCTATTTTGAATGCCTGAAATTTTCCCTTGGGAGCACTATGACGCTAAAAAATTGTAGTGTTGTAGTACTAGGTTAAAGTTTTGAAAAATATTAACCTAGATTAGGGTGGGAGGGCTTGGTTATTATAATGGATTTTAATGAGTATACCTAAATTAGACAACAAATTAGGGAGGGTTAGGCTTCTAGTGAGGGTAGTTTGGGTGTGTCACGTTGTTCTAGCAATGTTATTTCTTTCACTGAGCATGAATGGAGGCGAGTTGGTTATCATCATTTAATTATTCAATTTATGCATGCATATGTAATGATATCTTCTACAATACTTTATTTTTTAAGGTAATAGTCGGGTGACTATGATCGAATCTTCTATAGTAGTTATATTACATATAGTAACTTGCTAAGAAATCTAATATTATTTAAGATTTATGAAAATTGTTATGTGTATCTAAAAATTTCGTCATGGGACCACTGTATTAGTGGCTCTACAGCACTGCCCTCTTTGTTAGATATGTGCCTAAAGACTGGCAATGTGACATTAAATATGTGGCACAACATTGTTGAGGTTTCTATTTTGAATGCCTGAAATCTTCCCTTAGGAGCACTATTATGACAAAAAAAGTGGCACTTTAGTGCTATGTTAAAATTTTGAAAACATTTTGGAAGGGGTGGGGGGTTATAATATTGGATTTTAATGAGTATACCTAAACCAGACAACGAATTAGGGAGGATTGGGCTTCTAGCAAGGGTGGTTTGGGTGCCTCTATTTGTACTAGTAGTACTATTTCTTCCACTGAGCATAAATGGAGGCAAGTAGGATGCCATCATTTAATTATTTAATTTATACATGCATATGTAATGACATCTTCAACAATAGTTTTTTTTTTTTTAAAGATAGTAGTCGGGTGACTATGATAAAATCTTCTACATAATAGTAACTTGATAAGAAATCTTATATTATTTAAGATTTATAAAAATTGTCATGCGCATCTAAAAATTTCAAAATGGGGGCACTATAATGGTGGCGCTACAGCACTGCTCTCTTTATTAGAAATGTGCCTGGAGTCATTAGACATTAAATATGTGGCACAATAGTGTTGAGGTCTCTATTTTGAATGTCTGAAATCTTCCCTTGGGAGCACTATGATGCTAAAAAATTGTGGCGCTGTAGTGCTAGGTTAAAATTTTGAAAAAAAAAAGAAGCAAACTCACTCTTAAAACCTAATAAAAAGATAAAAACTCTTCATTGCATTCATTAACTATGAGAAGGAAGATGAGAAGAAGAGTTTGGGGGTCTTTGGGCTTATTTCATCAGTCAATCCAATTGAAAAAATTGTTTATCTCTAAGTGGTTAATGTTATCCTATCTATGATTTCAATTATCTTACTATTTGAGTGATTTATGTATTTCAATTTTGTTAGAACATATAAAAGTTATG